CATTACAGCACAGCTTCAGTTAATTTCCACCCAATCATAAGAAGTTGCAGCACCTTCTTATATCTGTTAGGTTTCATCTCGGTGCCTTTTTTCTCCCTTATTTTTCCGATGGTTTCATGCAGACCCTTTTTGATGGCTGGTCCATTTCACCTTTTCTCCCCTGGGAAACTCAAGCTTGCACCCTGAATATTTTTGGCAAGGATGATGATGATGATGATGACGACGATGATGATTGTGGTGTATGCTTTAGGGATTTTTTAAAAAGATTTCTGCTATTTTAGAGCTTACACTTTAACTTCCCCATGTTTCCACAATGCTATATATGAAATAGCATTTGGAGGTGAGCTGGAAGCTGTAGCTGGCCCAAAATGTAGCAGCTAAATTGTTGATGGGATAATCTAATGCTAATTGAGCAACACCACTACTAAAATCACTGTAGCGTCCCATAAGGCTTTCAGACCCAACTCAAAGTGCTGGTGATGATCTCTAAAGCCTCATATGGCATAGCGTCAAATGACATCAGGCACTACCTTTCATGGGTTGAACCTCCCCAGCCAGAAGGAACATCATGAGAAGACCTGCTTAGAGTCCATGCTCTAGTAGAGATGTGGGGAACATGGACCAGATGGTGGGCCTTCTCTGTGGTGGCCCCTTTACTCTGGAACTCCTTGCTTTTGGAGCTTTGAGGAGCATCTTCTTTCTTGGCCTTTTGTAAAGCTATTACAGCAACGCTATATACTGTTAACCAGGACTGAATGTTTCTTGCAGCCATTTGCAGGTTATCTATTAATAGTGTCTGTCTTGTTGTTCTTATTCTGCATTGCTGTTATGTTGTATGCTGCCTAGGGTCTACTACTGTGGTAGGTTACAGAAACTGTGAAATACATACGCATGGTCTATTCTGTAATAGCTTCTATTCGCCCATTGATTTCTAAGTTAACATTTCTAAATCAGCAGTATATTCTTAAGACTTAAAATAAAATTAAAAAAAAATGGCCACCAACTGTAGGGTGACAAAGGACAGGCTGTGTATTGTGTGTGTGTGCATGACAAAATGTACCTGTTAGCTGCTCTCAGCTAGAAGGAAAAGAACAACACCGCAGAGTCAATTAAGTTTTGATTTTTTAAAAAGAAGTTGTATTCACCAAAGCTGAATGGCCATTGGGTCCCCTCGCTGGGTCATGCCCTGGGATGAAGAATAGGAGCTTTAACTTGTTATGATAACTTAAATCAGCTTTCAGGAATCCTAGATAAGAAACATGGGTTATTTCTGCCCAATGTCCACTAACCTACTTTAGGAGCCTAACAAACCACTCCCAAAATGAAGGCAATGATTTACCACTGACCAATACCAGTAAACAAGGGAATGCAGAATGTATGCAGTACAGGTAGTCCTCGCTTAATAACCACAATAGGTTATTATACAATAGGGACCAGAAAATTGGTCATTAAGCAGGATGGTCATTAAGTGAGGACTACCTGTAGTTTCTTTTTTCATATCCTATTTAAGCCAAAAAATACACACCCTTGGCCTCTGGATCAATGGGAAGAAATGCATGCTGTAGGTGGAAGTTCAAGGCAGGGCAACATGCCACCTTGTAGTTGGGTATTGGGCTGTGATTCCCAAGATACTTGACCTTTGATTATGCTAGTGTGGTACTCATGGGAACTGGACTCCTGAAGTAACATCTGAAAAGCCATAGCTTTTTTCTTCCAGCAAGAATTTTTAGCAGTCTCTAATGATAGCTAAGAAATGTTTCAAGCAAGATCCTTTACTAGTTTCCTCTATGGAATTTGAAAAAACATTGAATTTCAGCCTACGCCGTAAGACAGTTTACATTTTGCAATCTGTGAGGCTGACTATTCAGAAAATGGAATTGAGAGGAATCAAAATAGCTGCAGCTAAGACAAAACAAGTTGAAAATAACTCTGGAAAATTTGGGCTGGAACCAGAGCAGATCCTGCCATGTTACAGGATGGGGAGGAACCTAATGATTTCCAGACCACCAGTTTTTCAAAGCAAGATGCTCGCTGTCCAATAGGGTTTGGTTTTATCCTCAAAATAGCTGAAATGTGTTGGCATTCAAATGCTTCAAGGTGACATTATCAGCTACATCTTGATACAAAGATTTGGCCTATTAGTGGGCCAAATCCAGGGAAGATAACATTTTTAATTGACATCCTGACCTCTTTCTAAGGGGACTATACAGATTATTCCATCATCCAACAAGAAAAAACAGAATCATGTTCTAACTTTACTCCCATTAGGTACCACCATACCAGAAAGGTATGTGCCAAGTACCTTCCAGATGTAGGTCCTTAGGACTTCTGGGAAGCACCACCCTATTTCTTTTAACTAACTATCAGGTCAGTGAAAGACTTGAGCCATTAAAAGGAGAAAGGAAGATGAAAAAAATGCCTTATGACTTCATCAGGCTTTATGGTATACAGGAAATGGACTCAATGTTTTCTAATTTTAAAAAAGAACAATTAACTTCTAGAAGGCCCTACAGCCCTGAAACATATATCCTCCACTGGTTTGGACTGAATTACAATACACACCTCCTGAAATTCTTTCTCCTAACTAACCATGATCACAATGAGGTTCCAGGAACTGTTACACATTTCTTGCACTGGCTATGCCACGGGCAATTTGAATGCAGAATCAAAAGCTGAATCAACTTTTTCCTGATTTAGAAGTTCTGGCTAAAGTTCTTTGAAAAACACCGTCTTGATCTTCAATTGTACTCAGAGGTTAAGTAGTTTGAACATTTGTAATGAATTAGGGTAATAATTCTAATTGTTATCCTTAATAATCCAAGCCCAGAGAACTGAAATTCTTGCACGGTTCAATTCCACATGAAGAAAAACAAAGAAAGACCAAATACGCTGATAAGAATTTTTTATGTTATTCCAATAAAAAATACATTCATACAGAAATATAACAATCTTGCAAAAAACAATTTCAAATAAAATCTTGTAAAACAAATTTTTTTACAAAAATCTTACAAAGAGATTCTTTAGATAATAGGGTGCTTCCAAAAAAAACAAACAAACATAAAAAGAAATTTTACGAATAGAAATTTTTTTTTCTGAAATTTCAAGCAATTTTTTTTCCTTTCAGCTTGATTGAGGCTCAGTTATCACCTGAACAAAATGTACTCATTTAACTACAAAACTGATTTCTAACTACTGCAAGGTTTTTTTTTTTTTTAATAGCAAATTATTATGGCTAAGCAGAAAACATTGCAATCTTACCCTCTCGAATACAAATGCTGGAACAGAAAAACTTGCAGAATTGCCTTGATCAAAGGGTGAGGATTCTAATTCATACATGCAGACGGAGGTTTTTCCCGATCTACGGTATTTTTTGTCTATGAAATGGCGTCTCTCAATGCAGTGAAAAAGAAAAGTGCCCTGCGTGTATGAAGCGCCATACATCTCTTAGACTTCCATAATCTGTAGATAATAAAATGTTTTCTTGGGAAAGTTTTCTTTTAAACTTAAAAAGTGCATTTTCAAGCATATAAAAATCAAAACGCAATGCAGATAATGTAGGCCTATGTATCTCTTAGCCTTGGATCAATTGGTTTTGAACATGGTTAGAGGACTATTAATCTTAACCATCATTTTCAGGAAAATGCTGCCCTAAATAGCAAGAAATAAGCTATGTTCTTGTGGAAGGCAGCTTTGAAAACACATTGGCTTAATGTTTGGGGAATGACTATTTCTAACATCTCATAAAACTGCCTTGCGAATTCAGCTAAAAGGTAAATACCCGTAGGAATAAATTCACCATCAAGGAGCACATTTCTACATCTTCTCAATAAGCTTAGAGGACAGAAACGGAGGGGTTGGGATTTATTTATTTAGTCTTAGCTGAAAGTGTCCATTTTTAAGTAGCCATCAATGGATTGCTCCCATACGATGCGGAAATGGCTAAACAGATACACTTAGCCCTTCGAGTTCCAATTAAATGCCCTTTTTGGGAGATAGAGAGCTCACTGACCACCATCAAGGAAAGCATGAAGTAGCGAGAGAAGCAGCTGAATGCAGCAAAAACGATACCCTACAGAACAAAAGGCGAACAAAGGAGGAACGTGCTACTGGGTGAACGTAGGAGAAAGGGGCTAACTTTCTCAGGGCTTCTAAGAGGACCATCTTTTCCTTAAAAGTAGCTAAGTGGCTTGTATTAAACCAGTGTTCCTCAACCTGAGCCACCTTAACATGTGTGGACTTCAACTCCCAGAATTCCCCAGCCAGCCATGCTGGCTGGGG